TCCTCCCTCACTCACCTAAGTAGTCCCATTCATCCTTCGGGCCTCAGCCTGTCGCTTCCTCACGGCAATGTCTCGGTCTAGGCTAGATCTGTCGGTTAAACATTTACCCTGCACTCCTTCTTACCACATATAATTACTTGTTCTGTATCTGTTTTCCCCGCAGGCTCAGGAATTCCAGGCAGGCAGCCCTGTCTGAATGGTGCTCACTGTCCTTGCCCGGTGCCAGGCACATATATATTTGTTGGATGCAGGGCCATATATGTGAATAAATAAAGAAGAGTGAATGAATGACTAAAGACTGAATGGAGAGGACCAAAGGGCTTAGGCCACACCCCCGCCCCCTCTGATTTAATTAATGACTAATCTGGAATTTCAGCATTAAGCAGGAAAGGTGTGGTGGTGTATGTGGGGTGGGGGGGTTATCCAGAAAGCCTCTGCAATCACACCAATTAGGCGACTTAGAGAGAGGTTAAACGCTCGGAAACCAGTCAAAGCGAATCAAAGGCAGCCCGCGGAGGCTCGGAAGAACACTTACCTGCACTATCTGTGTGGCTCTTATTGGCTGTGGTTTTCATCATTTTCTCGCTGAATAAAAGAAAAAGAAAGTCAGCTAGACAGTTTCCAAAATGCCTTTTTTTTTTTTTTTTGCCCCTTCCATTCACTACTCTAAGCAATTAGCAGCAGCTAGTGATGGTATCAAGCAATGAGGGTATTTTAAGCATCAGCATCACTACTGGCCGGGATGGAAGAGGCTTTCCACCACTGCGGGTGGAATGCAGCTGAGCAGCGCTCATGACTCTCAGATGGGGCGGACGTGGAGACGGGTGGATGGCGCTCACAGGCACGGCGCGGTGGTCCGTGAAGCCACATGCACTGGGAAGCCCGTTTACCCTTCTTGGGCCAAAGTGTTACCTTCGACCAAGAATTACCAGAAGGAAAAAACAAACAAACAAACAAACCATGATTCAGAGAGATGGGGATATTGTCAGCCTTGAAATGATTACAAGAAGAACGGATTTGAATGAATGGATTATCGTCATGATTAAAGAGAAACAGATTGAATTATTTTTCATTGGTTTGCTTTCTTCTTTTTACCTAGACGCATCTTTGCTATTACTTGTAATGGGCCCTTTAAAAAGCGCCGACTGAACAAGGCCAGTTAAACTGGCAATCTGTTTCTCCATGGCTTGCATCCTCTCTCTGTAAAACAAGAGAATGGTTTGTTAAAGCTATATTGACTTTCAGACTCGTCTGTCTAGGTGAATGATCACCTGAGGGTTATAAAATGCACCACCCGGTAGGCTGCCAAAGTTCACCCCATCCTGGCTCGCGGAACGTGAAGAGCCTACAAACTCTGCTGGGTTCAAGATTCGATGATCAGAGTTTAATATTAACCCAATGATCTCCCTGAAAAAAAAAAAAGAAAAAAAACACCAGACAGACGAGCGAGCACAGGCCTCCTGGGAAACTGAAAAGTGCCTCTTTCGGAAAGGACTCTGTTTGCCCGGAGTGTTTCTGTGACTTTCTGCCCTGCTCTCGCAATTTTCTCTCTGGCACCAGTGTCCTAGGCTAGGCCAGCTGTGGCCCAGTGGCCCAGACTTCCAAGCTGTCCTTGTTGGCGGGGAGGCTGCCGCCTGGTTTTGGCGTCAGTGATGGAGTGCTGTTTCACAGCCCAAGAGCGATGCAAATGGGTGTCTCCGAAGGGAAAACAGGACTGGAATCACTGTCTGACCTGGGGGAAGGAGATGCTCAGTCGAACGTCGTAGGAACCTTAACCTGGGGGCTTTCACAGGATCCAGCAGGAAGACAAATATCCCTGACAACTTGACCATCTCAAGACACAAGGGAAAAAATCCCCCCAATTAGATACTGCGCCTCTCTGTTCAGGGCTCTCTGAGGCTACAGCACAATTAGTTCGGCTTTTCAAATAGGCTCACATTTCTGTGCCCTGGACAATGGCAGTTCCGCAGAACTATGCCCGTTATTTTCATCACGTGATAAAAACGCCACCACAACACAGTGACTCTCCTGACCGAGGGTGAGTGGGCAGCACAGATGTCACTGCATGTGAATTCAAGTACACTTATGTGGTAGTTTAGAACAAGACAAGGGAGAGCGCGGAGAACAGTTGGAATGGCGGGGGGGACCTCGCCTGCCAGTGTATCCCCTCAGCAGGTGTCACGGCAGGGGCCGGCTCCAGACAGAGAAGTGACCCCACTCTTCACCGCGGGTCCCCACCCCACAGGCCCCTGGGAGTGTCAGCAA